AAAAAAAAAAAAAAAAAAAAAAAAAATATATATATATATATATATATATATATATATATAATAAAATAGGGAAAAAAAATCAACATTCACATTTTACATTTGAAGAAAAATCGAAAAGAATATACTTTACAATGTAAATGTTCCAATTAAAAAAAAATTCTTAGAGCATGTTTTGATCTCAAGTAGGCTGTTCCATCCATATTTGCATTTATCCAAGGCTACATAGCCTATGATTGAAAATGTATTTTCTTGCCAAAAATATATTTTATTCACCTTCACTGTTTACAACATATATTTAGCATATATTTGAGATTTATGTTTTTCTTTATGTGCATGGGGAAAAAAAGATTAGCAGTGAGATCAGCACGCAAGCTATCACTTTTTTGGCATATCACACTTTAATCTGTCTGTAAGTCTTAAACTTAACGTGTTACCCTCTCTCAGGCCCAGGTGAATCAATTATTAGTTCAATTGCAATTGTGATTCAAGACGACGTGACTTTGTTAAAAATAGCCGGGGATTTCTGTGACCTCAACAGCCAATAGGATGCGACATAAACAAGTGACGTGTCATGAGCACGTGATATGGGGCCGGGACCTCGATTCCTTTCATTTTCAATTCGTGACAGCAATTGAATCTAGTCGAGCAGTCTCTCAGCATCCCAGCGGGGCTGAAATCGACTGGGTCCAGAGGAATGGCTCAGGCCGGTCGTCTGCAGATGATTGATGAGAAAGACTTGCGCGATGTAGTTTTGGTCCGAACGAGTGTAGGTGCGTGTTTGCGAGGACATTTCGGGAGGACAGGACGCAAAGTGGCTGTCAAGTTAATCAAGGATAGGTAAACGGCATTTTCACTCATCATATATGCGACTAATCAGTTTTGCACGTTTATTTGTTGCGCTTTGCATAGTAGATATTCATATATAGGTCTAATACATTGAATATTTACTAAATAATATTGATGAATTAGTACCAAATTGCTAATTAATAATTATAAAACGTAAAAAATATGTTAATGTTAATACTAATAAACAATCAAACTAAACTCTATTAAATATTGCAATGTTTTGTGGAGTAAAATCTATGTACAAACATTGTGCAATGTATAGGGTATTTCCACAGCAAACAATGGAAAACAAAATTTGATTTTTTTCCTGTATGAATTGAAATTCATTTTAATACAGATGTGAAGAATTTGACTGCTGACTGATTGTGTATGTGTGTGTGTCTGTTTCATCAGGAGAGGAGGCTACTGAGCTGTAAAATGCGCTCATCCTGGGAGTTGCCTATTGAGCTACATAACCTAGAGGTAGGACAACTGGTGCATTTATTTTGAACAGGTTTTACTTGATTTTGTGTTGAATTGTTCTCTCATTTTTATATCATCATAATGTTAGTATTGTTAAGCAGGAACTCAGTCAGATGCTGTATTTTGTATTGTGTGTGTGTGTGTGTGTGTGTGTGTGTGTGTGCATAATAAATAACGTTTAAATATAACACTTCTTAAAGTTTTCGGATTCTGACAGCTGACTGTCTTTTACCACCAACAGGACAATAATTACAAAAGTACCACAAAAAATTGGAACTCGAAGGTGATTCCCCAGAATGAAACTCTGCCAGTGTCTTCACCGAATGCAAAAGTAAAGGCGCCTCTGCCAGTAGCAACAAGACATTGTCCTCAGATTGGATGTTGTAGGGGTTAGTGAGCTCTCATTTGATATTATTTTTTATACACTTTATCACTTTATTACTATAAATTGTCTCATAATTATGTTTTTCCCTGCTCATGTCTTTTATAGATACTGGCAAAAGTTCAGTCCAATCCAATAACTCCTGCAGTGATCATGGTTTCGCTCAGATTAATGGACATCCCGGAGTTCCCTGGAGATGGACCCCTACATCTTTAAGGTCCCCATGTGTTTCCCCCACAATGATATTTCAGAGTAACCCACAAAACAACGCTGGCAATCAGGGTGAGAAATTAGTTCTGTCTCCAAAATGTCCTAACAGTATAAGTTTTTGAATCCCTCTAAATTTCTCCATTCCTGTCCTGCACATTTCCAACATATGAGTTTGGACCGAGAACATAAACATGCACTCTAAAAAATGCTGGGTTAAATACAACCCAGTGCTGGGTAAAATAGGGACAAACCCAGCAATTGGTTTGTTTTGACCCAGCGATTGGGTTAAATGTTTAACTGTGTTTTTTAATGTTTCTTTGTGTTGGGTCTTTACATGTGCGCAGTAAGCAGTTCTGTGGGACTGTGCTCACTCGCTTCCTGAATGACTGCCCCACTCATTCCTTATCTGTGTCCAGTGTGTTTCCTCCCCAGAGGGTTTTTGTTTTTCTCAGAATTAGTCTTGTTTTGTTCATTTAAATGCTAGTAGTATAGAAGGTTCTGTCCCAGTGAAGTAACTGGCTACAGGGCAAGGCAATTTTTTCAAAAAATACACTATGATTTAAATGTTTGGGGTCGGTAAGAGTTTTTAATGTTTTGCTTACCAAGGTGGCATTTACTTGATTAAAAAAAAAATTCAAGTTTCTTTGATGAATTTGAAATATAATTTTTTTGTAACATTTTAAATGTATTTACTGTCAATTTTGATTAATTTAATTCATCCTTGATGAATATAAAACCCCAAACGTTTGTATATATTTAATATATATTTTACTTATCAGCAAAGTATGTGCATTATTTCTAAATTTGCAGAATTTATTATTTATTTAATCATGCATGTATTATAATGACCTATTAATTATAATTGTAATCACTTTGTTTTGTATCTGAAGATCATTAACAGCTGTAAAACGTCTCAACCTAGGTTGATCTGAATTGCTCTGGTCACCCATATAATAACAGAACAATATAAAAATGATGTATAAATAGTATCTTTGTGTTAGTTCCTAACTCTATGGTTAAACCATCATCATATACTCTAATCCTTCCTCTTTCTCTAGTAAAATATCAACTGTCTGCGGGAAGGAGCTGTTGCCAACTTCTGCAAGAAAGACGGGAGGCCATTGTTCGCTGCATGACTGAGGGGCGACTCAACAACGTACTTGACGTGTTGCGGGCCAGACAGGCTGTGACCCGCGAGACGTATGAGATCATCACTACGGCCCTGACCTTGACCGCACGCACGCGCTGTTTGCTTGATATCTGTGCCTGCCTTGGTGAAAATGTTGCTATCTTGGTGGCCACGACTTTAGGTTTAGTATCCACTGAAAATGCTCAGACCACCCATAGATGGCAGGCTGGTTAAATTATACCAGCATGCTGCTACTGTTATGCAAAGGCAAAATGCCATAACTGCACGTTAAACAATTGATATCAGATTGATATAAGATTTGTATGGCACTGTAATGTGTCATTAATATGTTGAGATGGCTAGTGTGTTCTTGTTTGGACTGCTGTATAACAGAAGAAGAGAGGTCAGACTCTCTGGAAGGGTATGCTGCAATGCAGTTTTAGTCTTGGATCTAAAAATCTCATCAAATTAACATTATAAAGGGTACTGACGATGTGATTGTTAGCCAGTTCCCAAACTGAAGGGATTAGTCAAATACCTTTGAACATGATGATGTTCAGATTAATGGGCAATTACAGGTTTGATAACATTCCTTTGTTTGTGGAGAGAAAAAAAGACAACAGCATAGAAACAGATTATTTTGAAAAGAACTTTTAGGAAAGATGAGGCTGTTTCTCTTAATCATGCTCACTTAACAGTGTTTGCTGTCAGCTTTCACGCACAGCTTCTGTTAATACTGAAACTGTTGACTGAGAAGTTCACAGCCTATTATATCATATTCATTTGACAGACTCACTCATCAAATAAATATTTCTTACTATAACTAAATGAATCTTGTGTGTACTACACATTCCAAGGATGCATGTTGGATCTAAAAATCTCATCAAATTAACATTATAAAGGGTACTGACGATGTGATTGTTAGCCAGTTCCCAAACTGAAGGGATTAGTCAAATACCTTTGAACATGATGATGTTCAGATTAATGGGCAATTACAGGTTTGATAACATTCCTTTGTTTGTGGAGAGAAAAAAAGACAACAGCATAGAAACAGATTATTTTGAAAAGAACTTTTAGGAAAGATGAGGCTGTTTCTCTTAATCATGCTCACTTAACAGTGTTTGCTGTCAGCTTTCACGCACAGCTTCTGTTAATACTGAAACTGTTGACTGAGAAGTTCACAGCCTATTATATCATATTCATTTGACAGACTCACTCATCAAATAAATATTTCTTACAAATATTTCTTACTATAACTAAATGAATCTTGTGTGTACTACACATTCCAAGGATGCATGTTTTGTTTTTTTATCTATAAGACTTACAATCGTGCATGTTGCACAATAGACTCAGTAGTTTCTGATTGTAGTGTATCTTGCAACAAGACATTATTTTTTATTCCCTGTGTACAGTTTGTAGCATGGCATGTATAAAGCAAAAAAAAAGAAGAAAGATGTATGGACAAAATAAACATGGTATAAGAAATGTAATTAAATGATGTTATATAATATGTTGTCTTTACCACAGTTTAACAGTATGTGTCCCTTCAGCGTTTGACTGAGCTCTTACGTAAGATCCACTTCTTGGAGAACAGCTATTACTTGGTATTACTCAGGTCAATACCATGCCACATACCTCCTCACAGACTGTCTAATTGCATGGATGATCTTTACACTGGTTAGTTTTAAAGGACATGAATGGTCCTTGCTATAGGGGCCTTTACTTACATTGCAATGTGAGAAGTGAAATGCCTTTGACTTGAAAATTCAAGTTGCTTCAGCAGTGTAGAGAATATATTGTTTTATATATTGTAGAGAACTTTTTTTATTTATTAAGAATGATAATTATAAATATCATTATAATTCAAACAATTCTATAATTATTATAAATATGAACGCTATTATAAATAACGCTACATGCTCATAAAAAGAAAAACAACAACATTTTATTTGTATTTTTAATTGCACCATCATTATAAAAATGAACCAGTGAAGGTACAAATGCTATTAAAAGAATTGGTAACCAGTTGCAGGACTTAAACTATTTGTTCCTATGTACTGTAGGAACAAATACAGTACATCAGTGAAATTGTTTTTTAATAGACAATAATACTTTTATTCAGCGAGGATGCATTAAATTGGTCAAAAGTGACAGTAAAGTCTTATAATGTTTAAAGATTGAGCCATCTCAGGAATAAATTAAATTGTAATAATATTTCACAATATTACTTTTTACTGCATTTTTGATCAAATAAATGCAGCCTTGGTGAGCATAAAAACTTTTTTTCATCAAAAACATATATATATCAAATAAAATACCTTATGCTTTTTATTCTTTTCATCCCTTTCTCTGCAACAAACCCCTATTCCTCACTTTAAAGTTAATCGCTTGACTTTGAACATATCAGGTGTGAAGCAGCGTTAATCAGAAACCACTGAAACACATAACCACCAAAACATTACTTTTAAATGGGTTGCTTTTGGCAGTAAGGCAACACCTGAACGGGTCTGCTGACAAACCGGGCTGCTCTGTCTGATTTGCAAATAAACCCACGTGACATCAATTTTACCGGTGTCACGTGACTTTCATGCTTCAGGGTTCTTCTTGCTGTAGTTAAAGATGCTGGCCTGTCTGCTAATGTCACCAGTCAGACAAAGACGATAAACGAAGGACACAACAAGGTAAGGACATGTTTCTGTTTTTAACGATACGTTTAAAGAAGACTAATAAGGACTTTGCTACTTGTGTTAAATCAGCGAGAACAGCTATCCTGTTATAATTCCATTCTATTTATTCTATTCTTGTTTTTCTAATAAATGTATGAACTGAATGTGTTCAATATGTTGAATGAAAAAACGCGGGGCGGAGAATATCTCATATTCTGCTGCGCTCTAACGTTATGTTAGAAAAACAGGATGTTGCTTCTCATCATCATCCAATCGATTACAAAATGCTTTACGTTTATTCCAGTCATTCACTATGCCAGATATACTATATGAACAATGGATTTACAAGAGCTATATTCATTAGTCCATCGCTCCAAATTCTTACCCACAGACTAGAGCAGACTACATAACAACGCGTTTAAAACGCGCTGATGGGGTTGTTTTGTTGAACAGCTGATAGGCTTGAGGACAACCTTAGCATTAAAGTCTCGTAATACGTCGTCATGTAGTTTCAGACACTTGTGTTCTGTTTTGCTTATTTATTTATGTTTGTGTCAGCCGATTACATGTGATGCATTTCTCATTTTGCATAGAACCCGACCTTTCTTTTCTTTATTTTAACGCGACTGCTGCGCGTCTCATTGTAACAAAGAGGGTTGCCAAATATGAACTTGTTTTGATCACGGGGTGCCAAGTTGTTGTAGTTGTTTGAACGCAAATCAGCTTTCGTTTCTTACTTTTTTATTATTCCCCTTTAGTTTCTAGTTAGATATCTAAATATAGGCTATAAGTGATAGCGAAATTTATGTGAATGAACAGTTTTTTTTGAGAATAGGCCTAGTGCAAGATGATGAGAAGTCGCCTAATTATATGTGCATATAAAAAAATTATTAAAGTCTCGTAATACGTCGTCATGTAGTTTCAGACACTTGTGTTCTGTTTTGCTTATTTATTTATGTTTGTGTCAGCCGATTACATGTGATGCATTTCTCATTTTGCATAGAACCCGACCTTTCTTTTCTTTATTTTAACGCGACTGCTGCGCGTCTCATTGTAACAAAGAGGGTTGCCAAATATGAACTTGTTTTGATCACGGGGTGCCAAGTTGTTGTAGTTGTTTGAACGCAAATCAGCTTTCGTTTCTTACTTTTTTATTATTCCCCTTTAGTTTCTAGTTAGATATCTAAATATAGGCTATAAGTGATAGCGAAATTTATGTGAATGAACAGTTTTTTTTTTAGAATAGGCCTAGTGCAAGATGATGAGAAGTCGCCTAATTATATGTGCATATAAAAAAATGAATAAAGAATAACAAACCAACGATATTAAAAGGGTGTGATGAAACCAGTCATTGTCATGGACCTTATTTACCGTATTTAATTAGAATGACAATGAGGCTGTATCACTCACTGATGCAACATGGAAAATGCATCTTTCCAAAAAAAAAGTTTCTCTTTCCAAAAGATCCCTTCGACAGCACACATTCAAACACACACTACATTGTTTGTACTTCCGTCTAAATATGTATCTGTATGGATTAAACTTGTTATCTTGCACTTCTATCGGTCTGTATCAAACAGATAAGCGCACACTTAGAAAAAAGCACCAAGAGCATCAATAAAAAGATAGACAGGTTCCCACAAAAAAAGTCGCTCATCTCATTCAAAGTCAAAATTAAAATGATGTAATTTAGTTTCCAAGGCAATGATAGTGGACTGCCCTTTACCACTGTATACTGATGTGTCATGAGTGCAGATGTTTTTGTGAATGTTCCAGTTCTGGGAAACATCATCTAGGATGGGAAACAAGCCTCAGGGAAGGAAAGCTCTCTTGGGAGAATTTGGGAACAATTTAATCAGTGCTTGTTTAACAATTACATGCTATTTTATATATTAATTAAAAATGATCTGCCCTCCATTTGAAAGGCAAGACTTTTGGTTTTCAGACACACTTAATGTAATGAGCGTTTTACAAGGATAAATGTTAAAGTGAGTGGTTCAAGTCAAATAATCACAGGAATGTGCTATCCACAATAAGAGAGGTGGCAGCAGTGGACATGTCATGCTTAATCATTTATAGAGGGTCAACAAACAGCAAGTCAGGATTGTGAAACGTGTGATTTCCCTCATTTAGAAACCCATATAGACCCTGACTGAACTCATGATTAAGTGCATAGGTTTCATTTTTAATTTTCAGCTTCTGATTGGGAGAGGGGTTATGAAATGTTTGACCAAAGAAATTCTTGTTTACATAATCCCAATGATGCAATTTTCACACTAGCTTTTCGTCAATTAGCATCAGCACAGTTTGCACGTATGTAATTTACTTATCACACTGGCCTGTACTGACTTAACACCATCACTAGACTTTGGAGGCCGGATGTGACTTTTTAGTTATGTGTGGGTAATTGCATGATCCCCAGTGTTATCATGCAGTATCAAACATGCACAAATATTTAATCCCAAAATGAATATCCTGTAAATCTTTAGTTGCCCTCATGTTGTTTCAAACCTGTATGGCGTTTTCTTTTTTTTGAAGGATGTTCCTTAGAAAAACGTTTTTTGTCTATACACTGAAAGTCAGTGTGGTCCAAAACAACTCTGAACCCCATTTGTAGCGTTATAGTAATAATTTATTTATATACTAATATAGTATTTTTTTATATTTTGAATTGGTTTTTATATATATTTTTTTATAAATTAGTGTTTATATATATTTTAATTAATTTTTAATATATTTTATATATTATTTTAATTTTAGTTTAACTTTTAGTAATTTTGTCATTTTCTTAGTTTTTAAAAATATTTCTACCTAGCTTTAGTTAATTAATTGTAGAATTTTAATACTTCAACTTTTTTAGTCTTTTGTGGTATATAATTTATTCTATTATCCATTTATAGTTTTAATTTAATATTTATTTATGTTTATTATTTTTGCTTTATTTCAGTTACAAAAAAGATTTTTCAATTTAGTTAGTTTAACATCATTATCCCATTGACTTTCACTGTATGGACAAAAAAAACACCAAAACATTTATCAAATTTTCTTCTTTTGTGTTCCACTAAAGAAATAAAGTCATATGGATTTGTAATGACATGAGGGTGAGTAAATGATGACAAAATTTTCATTTTGGGGTGAAATCCAAAGTTTTGGCATGAAACTCGAGATGGCGCAGTCTGATAGGTCAAACTCAATCTGACATAATGACATCATTATCACATGGCGCAGCTGATTGATTCTTTTTGTATCAGCAGCCAATGAGCTCGCTGCTCAACATTCAAATACTTGGCTAGTGCTTGCTGTAGGAGTTGCAGTGTGCTTCAGAAATCCTCCTCCTTCCCCAGCTCCACCTGTATAGATCTGCTATGGGGTGCTTCATGTATGCTATATGGGGGTTATTTCATATAGTATGTTATATGTGCAGCAGCAGTATTTCTTACATGCTCACAGCAGCATGTTATGGATGTATTGACAGTAGCAAGTCTCGGTACTTGCTCTGCTGCAGCAGCAGCAACAGCAGCAGCGGAGCAGATCTATTCCGCCAAGACCAAACACATTAACATAAATATCCTTTTAAGCAGCAGCTATTCCTTATATATCTCTTGTTTTTCTGCACTGTTAGGTTGGATAAGGCCGCCAAGGACCCTGTCTGTCTCTGAGTGGCACCACTTACACCTGTGGACAGAATGGAGAGCGACGCTGAATCCAGAAAGCTGAACGGCCAGCCTGAGGGTCCTGCAGCCCTTTCAAAACCCAAAGAGAGCATGCAGCTCAAAAAGGAAATCTCTCTCCTGAACGGCGTCAGCCTCATCGTGGGGAACATGATTGGCTCGGGCATATTTGTATCGCCAAAGGGCGTTCTGATCTATAGCGCCTCCTACGGACTGTCTCTAGTTATCTGGGCCATCGGTGGCATCTTTTCAGTAGTGGGTGCTCTCTGTTACGCCGAGCTCGGCACGACAATCACTAAGTCTGGCGCCAGCTACGCCTACATCCTGGAGTCGTTTGGAGGCTTCATAGCATTTATACGTCTATGGACATCACTGCTTATCATCGAACCAACAAGCCAGGCTGTAATTGCCATAACTTTTGCCAACTACTTGGTTCAGCCGCTCTTCCCCACTTGCGAGCCACCGTATTCTGCTTCTCGGCTCATTGCTGCAGCTTGTATTTGTGAGTAACGTGTACATGCTGTTGCTCTACACCCTTGTTTTTCACATTCTTTAACTTTCTTGTTGTCTTTCTCACTCTGCTGTTCTCTCTTCCTTTCTCTGTTTTCTCACCATGAGATCTGATAAGCTGTTGAGACCCATTATGGTCTAACTTTAAAATGGGTCATGGGTTAGTTAATGAATGACTTGTTTTTGAGTTCAGGGAGCCCGTTCTTCTGGTTCTGTGGTGCTTTTCCTCGTATACCTGTTTCACTTGGATACCTTCAGCAGTCTCATTAGACATGCCACTCTAAACATTACTGTTGCCATGACTTAACCAAACTTTTATTACTCCCCACTAATTCATCAAGTATTGAATTAGTAGTTTTGATTGCTGTCTTTAGGGAGTAACTGATGTTGTTTGTTGTCAAAAACACAGTTAGCATTTCATTGTTATCATTCACTTCAAGGCTGGAATGCATTGCATCACTTTTAAAATCAGAGCATGTTTTAAAACACTAGGCATCATACACTTGTCGACTCTGTAAATGGTTTCAGAGAAAAACTGAGTATCATATGCTAAAATTCTGAGGATCACACACTACCAGACTTTGTTGTTCCATAAAACGACAAATTAATGCAGAAACATGCACCCCCTTGCTAAGAGATGCACAACAAATTAAAACAATGTTAGATCTCCTCTAACTGGATGGAATCATAGTCTGAACTAAAAAAAATCAGAGTCTGTGCTTCCCATACTCTGCTTGATTTTCTGTGAAACCTGTCAACTCCAACTGCATAAAATCTGCAGACTGACTGACTTTTAGCAACTAGCATTGACTTGTCCAGACTGCAAATCAGGGCAAAAATCTGTGGAGTGTATTCCAGCCTTAACTTTTCAGAGTACTTGTCTATATATATATATATATAATGTATATATTCTTATGCTAACATGCTTTCTGGCTATGATATTGCAGGCCTGCTGACCTTTATTAATTCCGCTTATGTTAAGTGGGGTACCAGGGTGCAGGATGTCTTCACTTATGCCAAAGTGCTGGCCATATATATATATATATATATATATATATATATATATATAATGTATATATTCTTATGCTAACATGCTTTCTGGTTATGATATTGCAGGCCTGCTGACCTTTATTAATTCCGCTTATGTTAAGTGGGGTACCAGGGTGCAGGATGTCTTCACTTATGCCAAAGTGCTGGCCCTCATCGTCATTATTATCACGGGGATAGTGAAACTGTGCAAAGGTAATCAGCCACACCTCTTTAAGATGTTTTTGCATGATAGCATTTACATGATTGTTTTGCATGTCCATCCATACATTGTGTCTGGGCCAAATATTCTCATGAGTTCTGAATCAGTTTAAGGGGATAGTGACTCAAAAATGAAAATTCTGGCATTTATTCACCTTCATGTCACTTCAAATCTATATGACTTTTTCATATGACGATTATTTGATTATATGACAAAAGAAGATATTTTGAAAAATTTTTTTTTTTTTATTCATACAAAGGTAACCAAAACCATGTGATTACCAACATTCTTCAAAATATCTTTTTGTATTCTGCAGAAGGAAAGGAAGTCATACATTCTTGAAATTACATAACGAATTTTGACAGAATTTTACATTTTGGATGAGCTATCCCTTTAAGGCAAAAATAAACAGTTTCTCTCATCGCCTATTTATTTTTATTTTTATTTTTATTTTATTTCCTTAGTTTATTTAACAGGCACAGTGCACACTAAAAAGCATAACTGTAAATGTGCAAGAATTAGCCTAAAGGCTATTTTTCTTTTGTAGTCCCTGAGCATTATGTACAAACATAAAGTATGCACAGTATTATGAATATGTAAATGTAACACAATAAGAGGAAAACCACAATACAAAATGCATTCACATATATATTGATCTCGAAAAGCTGTTAATCGTTTCAGTACTTTTGTAATATTTCTCACACAGGTTTTACAATGAACTTTGAGGATTCATTCAAAGGCTCATCTCGCGACCCAGGAGATATCGCTTTGGCATTATACTCTGCTCTTTTCTCGTACTCCGGCTGGGACACGCTGAACTTTGTCACAGAAGAGATTAAGAACCCTGAAAGGTACCACTTTGAGAGAAAACTGACCCTCAGTTCCTGTTCCTGTAGTGAAAATACAGTATGTAAAAATAGGTACTGATAAGATAACACATCTGTGTCCATGCATGTCCCAGGAACCTTCCTCTCTCCATTGCAATCTCCATGCCGATTGTTACGATCATCTACATCCTCACAAATGTGGCCTATTATGCTGTGCTGGACATGAGTGCCATCCTCGCCAGTGATGCTGTCGCTGTGGTGAGTTCATAGACTTCTGTGCTATCATAATGTCTGTAGAGTCTGTAGTGTAACAGCTAATGTTTCCTAATCATCCCACAGACGTTTGCAGACCACACTTTGGGAGTGATGAGTTGGACCATCCCTATTGCGGTTGCTTTATCCTGTTACGGAGGTCTTAACGCGTCAATCATTGCTGCATCCAGGTCAGTCGGAAGCTTGATTTCTACATACCATCACAGAACATTAGCTTTAGATTTTTCCCTCATTTTCTGTCCAAAGAGACCAATTGGGAACTGTGTTGGTATTATGAGTTTTGAAAATAGCCCTGTACAATTGCACTGGCTTTATGGTTTTATTATTCCACTTGAACCTCTGCTTTGTTCCTCAAGTTTATTCTTAATGACTGGTGTTAAACTCCAGGAGGAGGAACAAAGTTTAGTTCAGCTCCTGTGGTTTTTATAGGGAGCTGCTCAATTGCTCCCACCATCTGGAGCTGCTTTGTGGTAATGGCCGTGTGGGGGTTCACGCCACTATTCCATGTGGAAGATCATGCAGAGTACTGAGGATTTTTGGGAGTGTTGAGAAAACATACGTGCAGTGATAATGGGAATTCAGATGCACTGAGAACTTAAATTCCTGTTTATATCTATAGCTCTTGTTTATTCAGGTGTTTCATGTATGATATGTGTGCTTATGTACTTATACAGTTGATTTTGTTTTAAGGTCAAGGATGTGCAAGTATATGAGTATGAAGCTCATTTTCATACAATCTTGATGTTTTTTTTATCTTTTGTCTGAAGTGTTTTTGTGCACTTATGCATTTGGTTTGCATAATCAGTTTGATTTCTCAGTATTTTGATTACGTGCAGTGTTATTTTAATATCATTGATATGCTTGATTTTATGTTTCAAACTAGTTTTATTTTTTCATTTTAATTAAAAAGTTTTAGTAATTTAGTTTTGTCATTTTATTCGTTTTTTTTTGTTTGTTTTATATAGTTTGCTTTTCATTTTATTTCAGTTTTAGTTATTTTAGTACATCAAGTTAAACTAAATGAAAATGAAACCTGTTCCTTTGGCAACTAGCTGAAATAAAAAAGTTTTTTTTATGGTAGTTAACTATTATAATCCTGATTAGGTGCACTTATAGAAAATGCATATACATTTGAATAAATAGTGAGTCTCTCGCTGCTGAAGGTTGTTCTTCGTGGGAGCTCGAGAAGGTCATCTTCCAGATGCTTTGTCTATGATTCACGTGGAGAGATTCACACCAGTTCCTGCTCTGCTATTTAATGCAAGTGTATTTCAGTTACAATTAACACTGCATGCATCGTAACTTTCTCTTTTATCAATGTGATTTCCTGTGACCTGTGAGAATATTTTAATAAATATACTAATATTATAATTATACTAATTAAATATTTATTTCATGTATTTATATACAAGTTATTAACGTTTTTATTATATGCTACATTTAGCTGTACAGATATAGATGCCGTTGTAGTCTCTCAGTCTGGGACAATTTTGAGGTTTTCTGTCTCCATCTAGTGGACCAAATCACTTAGGTCGTGCTTTCTGTCTGCAGTGTGCCATGGCCCTGATCTACCTTACAGTGGAGGATGTTTTCCAGCTGATTAACTATTACAGCTTCAGTTACTGGTTTTTCGTTGGCCTGTCTATTGCTGGGCAGATCTACCTTCGCTGGAAAGAGCCAGACAGGCCCCGACCACTGAAGGTGAGGAAGTAGAGACTATACAGATGAAATAAAAATGTTTGAAATGAAATAAAAATGCTGGGTTAAATATAACCCAGTGCTGGGTTAAAAAGGGACAAACCCAGCTATTGGGTTGTTTTGACCCAGCGGTTGGGTTCAAAACAACCCAACCACTGGGTCAAAACAACCCAATAGCTGGGTTATATTTAACCCAGCATTTTTTAGAGTGTAGCTTTTAAAAAAACAAGTAGACGTACATCTGATCTATTACTGTGTATTTTGAACACATAAACCAATACAAACAGCTAAATTGGTATATACAGTTTGCAGTTAGTAAATTCTTAAGAATTTTTTTAATTCTTTTATTTAGCACTTTTCACTTTTCAGCAAGAACATCAATAAAAAATGACTGTAAAGACATTTACGGTGTTACAAAAGATTTGTTTTTAAATAAATGCTGCTCTTTTAAACTGGGTTCAAAACAACCCAACCACTGGGTCAAAACAACCCAATAGCTGGGTTATATTTAACCCAGCATTTTTTAGAGTGTAGCTTTAAAAAAAACAAGTAGACGTACATCTGATCTATTACTGTGTATTTTGAACACATAAACCAATACAAACAGCTGTATTGGTATATACAGTTTGCAGTTAGTAAATTCTTAAGAATTTTTTTAATTCTTTTATTTAGCACTTTTCAGCAAGAACATCAATAAAAAAAATGACGTTTAACGTGTGTCTCCCTTACACAGGTGCCATCACCCGTTTCACCCAGTTCACCTGTTTTTGTGTGCTCACCGAGTTAGATACTGTTGATTAGAACACCTGCACCCCTTTAACCCACAAACCCACTGGTTTGGGGAGAGGAAACCAATGTCTGGAGCAACAGGAAAAAGATCTTCCACACTTTTAAAGACACAGATGCACTCTTAATGTCACTGCGTTGAATTCTTCTTCTTCTTTATTATAAAAAGGCTCTGCTAAGGCCATATTGTGCACTGCAGTATTAGAAATGCCCTTGAGAACCATATGGCATGAAAATGAAGGCCATTTCGAAGCTCTGGTTCATAATAGTACCGGATCGCTCATGATGCAAACACCTCTCAGAGGACATAAACATGACGCGGCGATTTGTGTGCGCCATTATGAAGACATGACCAAGAATTAGATCACGTAACATTTCCCCCCTTTTTTTAATCGAACATGGTTTTATTTTAGAATCTAGTTTTAAAAATGTCCAAATTTATTTATCCACTTTTTGAAGTGAAAGAGATTTTATTTTAATTTTCCTTATTGTGATTACCTTCGCATGAATGCATCAGTTCTCTTACAGTATTTGGAGAGGTCAGCTTTAGGAGGTCAGCTTTAGAGGGAAGGTGATTGTATGCATTTGAACATTGAAATCTGCTGCTATGCTTCTGTACATGTAGCGAAGCATCACATGTTCGCTTGTGGAAGAGGTTAGGAAGGAATAAAGATGAAGAGTACATCAGATGTGCTGGAAACATTTGTCGACTCAGTCCAGCAATGTTTTTAAGGGTCTCTGTTCTTTGATTGGACCTCTATCTGTGTTTTGGAATTTTGTTAACTTCAGTTTCAAACTGAAAAAAAAAACAAAAAACAAAACATTGTCCAAATGAATTCATATTACAATACTAAGTGTCACGAAATTTGCTCTTCAATCATTCAGTTTCTATAAAATCCTTACATTGCCATTGGCCAAACAAGCAATACATTGTTACTGGTAAAAATCCCAGTAATCTCAGGATGGATGTCCAGATGTGATTAAAACAGGTCACTCTGATAAACGTTTACCTTGTAGCATGAAACACACTGAACAGCTTTCAAACTATATTGTTATTTGCCGATTGGACCTCTATCTGTGTTTTGGAATTCAGTTAACTTCAGTTTCAAACTGAAAAAAAAAACAAAAAACAAAACATTGTCCAAATGAATTCATATTACAATACTAAGTGTCACGAAATTTGCTCTTCAATCATTCAGTTTCTATAAAATCCTTACATTGCCATTGGCCAAACAAGCAATACATTGTTACTGGTAAAAATCCCAGTAATCTCAGGATGGATGTCCAGATGTGATTAAAACAGGTCACTCTGATAAACGTTTACCTTGTAGCATGAAACACACTGAACAGCTTTCAAACTATATTGTTATTTGCCTTTATGTACAAGTGTTTCTATTAATTTATTTGAAAGAATATCAATAAAACCTTTTTGCTACCAGACAAGAACTGTTTGAATAAATGATTCATGATATTTCAGTTTAATTCTGAAGTCTTTATTTATTTTTTTTATACACATCTACATATTTACAGGTATTTTGTTTTTCACCCCTTAGATGAACGTACAAACACTACACACATAACTGACAACACAAAGCACCCCACACTTACACACTCAAAATATCACCATTTTCTCTCCATACTATCTTCACATCAATCGCAAATAGTAAATCACTCGTCTCACTAACGCGCAAGTCAAAGCAACCCACACAAGTACACACACATGGGCTACTACATACATTCACTTTTGACAAAAGAACATACAGCTTCACTCAACACACGCAAGTAAAAATGGCCTCTCTCACGCTCGTAACCACACACAGAGGCTCTCAGTCAGAATCATTATACTCTCGTTCCTCCGCGTCTTCATCCTCATCTTTGTCATTCTCCAACTCCTCAATCATGTCCTGCCGGTAGCATTCCCAGCTCCTCCTGCTGTACGAGTGCTCTTCACTCCAGCAACCTGGAGAGCATAATACATTTGATTAAAAAAACAGCTTAAACCAGAATATTATGCTCTTTTTAGAATCGTGACATAATATTGGCTGTTATAACACACTATAAGCCAAATCAACTGCAAACTACGCTCTAATAAGAAGCTATTTGCTTTGCTTCTTGATTTCGAAAAAAGCTTAGACGTATGACCTCCATAACGCTCTTCTGCATTACTGTCATCCTCACTGCTCTCATCTGGGTAGTCATTTCTCCAGTTGGTTTCAGCGTTCTCATCATCCTCATCTTCATACACTTCTTCCTCCCAGGCCACTTCATCAGGGACCTGAGTATTTGAAGAGAGGGGAAAAAAAGACAAATGAAACCAAAGTAAAACTATAAAAAAGGCATTTGTTAATTGAAACAATGCTTTAAGTTGAAGCACTAAAATCAGTAAGTATAAGTAAAACTAATAATGACAAAAATCTTACTAAACATTCAAGTAAAATTGAAAATATAAAACTAAAAGGTAATACAAAAATATAACTAATAAAATCTATAACAGTGCATAAATAATATTAAAATAACACTGCAACTAACCAGTTCTCCCTCTTGTGTATAGGGTCTGACAGACAGAATGTCTTGGATCCAGCCTGGTGTGGTTGTCTCCTGGTAGTACAAGTCATACACGTAATCGTCCTCTTTCTCTCGATGTTCAGTACCGAGCCCATCTCCCGACACGCTCAGCTTCTCACGAATCATCTTCACAGAGTTACACAGGATTGTCTCTGGGTCAGACATAGTCTGGGGAAAAAGAACAATTATATCTTAAGTCAATTTAATAAAGGGATTAAAAAGTATGTGTTTGAAGACAAATGTAAATCGGGCATACATATTTCTTACATGAGTTGGAGTGATTGGTAAAGGGAAACGTAGCCAGAATGTACATTCAATATATAAAAAGTGTTCAAGATGAATACTGCATAATGTTGCCTGAGAAAACTTTTTTGGCTTTACCTTGACAGGCATTTTGACATTCTCGTCCTCATGCACAATATCAAACACTTGCACTTCTCCCAAAGACAGGCCACCATGGCTCTCTGTTTGGCTGTCATCGTTCTCCTCTCCTCCTCTTGCAGGAGCGGGCTCTGTCGGCAGTCCAGCCCGGTGGCTGGACAGGATCCGGTACCGCTCCTCTCGTCTGGTGCTCCATTTGACACTGCGCAGATCACCGACGATCCTCTGAGTGCTTCCTTGTGATGGCCGCAAGGCATGATGGGCCAGACGTGGGCGAGCCAGAGCCTCACGGACATGTGGCTGTACCGGAGCATCCTGTAAAGAGAATTGATACATTTGATCACGAGTCTAATTATTTACACATTCTATCTAGCCATGCATCAATTACTACATAAATCTATAAATCCACCCATGGTCTGCAATGGGACTGCATGACATCAAGTATAACACCTGTAGTTTAATATCGCCTACACTGTAGGTCATTTTTTCCAGCACACGACAAAAACAAGTGATACAGTACAAACGCACTTAAAAGAGCAAGTGGCCAAAAGTTGAAGTGTTACAAACAAGAGTTGTTTTTTTTTTAACGCATGCGTTTTGACACGTGCGCTCGCGAGTCCTGACGTCATCACGCATCATCATGACCACGGAAAACAATACAGCGCGTTTCTCCGGCCGGCTGGCGTTCAGACATTACCTGCGACACCACGGTGGCCACCAGTTTGAACACGGAGTTCTCTATCTTGGGCTCCTGTGGCTCTGGTTCACTCTCGTCGCTGGGCTGAGCCGCCGTGGCCTCCGGACGGATCCGCTTACAGGCCAGCAGCAGCGCGTCCGCCGGATCAGTGCCTCTCTTCCTCTTCACCCGCAGAATGGTCGTGCTCGGGTCCATTTCGCTAGAGACGCGTCTACTGTGTCACCACAGAGCGATTTCAGATGACAGGCAAACAAGTACACGAGCCTGCCAATGACAACAACAACCTGCGCTGTAGCCTTTCTTTCTTCCTTTCCACTCGTTTTTCTCCTTTGGCGCTTTCCTCTTTAGTGACCGTCTCATTGTGGAACAGTAGCGCCTCGCTGCGGCGTGGAGTTTCTTAAACGTCCCCATATTGTTGCAATTAACCGCCTGCAGAGGTCGCGGTTTAACTGGGTTTAATTAAGGATTGGCGAAAAGAGGCCACTTGAAATGCTTGGATCAGTTACTGTTTTGTTTATTATGGACCATGGATTTTTTTTTAAAGCAACTTGAGAAAATGAACATAATATTTTCTCACAGGGACTTTTCTGTCCCTTTGGAACATGGTTTAATTAAAATCCCATATAGTTTATGAAAGTATATGCCCATGTAGGCCTAATAGATTTAAACATTGGAATGACATTCTTTTATAACGACGCATTTTGAAGGATTTTTACACCATGATATACATTCTATTATATTCTATTATACCAGCTGCTAGCTAACCCTTTCCCCAAAAGTTAGAAAAATGAATTACTATCACAAACAATGTTAAAACAAACAAAACCCCTCTGTCATATATTATACTATAATTCACTTGGCTGATCAAGGCCATAACCAAATCATATGACTGTACATTTTATAGTTTGATGAAACACACTTTGAAGAAGAAGTCAAGCCTTAATTGAAGAATCAGCCATACAGTGTATAGCCTATATGAAATTGTGTAGTTTTAAGGTAGACCGCATAGCTATTTACAGTATAAACTGCTATACTAATCTACTACAGTTTACTACAAATTAATGTACTACGAGGGAATGTGTTATGTTTAGCATAATCCTGAGTTTGTAAATCTATTATATCCCACTTTTCGTGCCCCCTTTTTATTCTGAGACATTAAAATCGATTCAGTCCGGACTGCGTGGGCTCTTGGAGATCAATAAAAGGAACACTTCTGTGTGAATGCGCTCACACCCCCATCCCCCGACACACACAGAATCATGGAGAGAGACAGAAAAGGTTCTCTTTCACACACACACACACACACACACACACACACGCTCGCGCACTCGCTCTATTGCACACATCTTCTGTTGAAGCGCTCATAAGCGCGAATCCACTGACAAAGTGCGGAAGAGACAGAAAAGGTTCTCTTTCACACACACACACACACACACACGCTCGCGCACTCGCTCTATTGCACACATCTTCTGTTGAAACGCTCATAAGCGCGAATCCACTGACAAAGTGCGGATGAAAATGAGAGGGACACTCGTGTTAGAGTAAACGCGTGTTTCTGAGTTCGACCCTAAACTCTGAACCGATCACCATGGGAGCTGTTTGGACTGCACGGCTCCTCTGTTTGTTTGCGCTCTTGTTAAATACTCGCCAAAGCGCCGCAGTTCCTCACAGCACTGGTAAGAGTCTTCACTTTGTTACGCGCGATGCTCTACACGCGCAATTTCGATTTGCACGTTTTTGCGACTTGTTTACCTCCCTTTGTTTTGATACCATTTTTTTTTTTTTTTTTTTTAACTTTTCTGTCAAAACTAAAAAGATATTTTAAAATGTGTTCATATTTTTCCTGCCATTGAATCTTTTTGGACTTTTTGAGTATCAGTTTATATTACAGTGTTTGTGTTTACGCATTCTAATTGCTACAGTCACAACAATAGTGAAGTTTATTTACAATAGTGAAGTTTATTTACAATAGTGAAGTTTATTTACAATAGTGAAGTTTTGCAGTTCGTTAGTAATCTGCAGTGTAAAGTCAGCAATGTTTACAGTAAAGTATCGT